GGCCCAGTATTCGTGACCTTATATAAACTACTTTAACACTGTAGAATATTAAAGGTATACAGTTATGTGTTTTCGATACCCAGAAAATAATCGCAAACAAATATTATACGAATTTATTATATACGCTAATAATAGCTTACCATTGTGGTTAAAGACAAATAAAATTATCTAACCTATACCTATCAATAATAAAACGGAATTTCGTGGTATTTCTTGTATTTTTATTTTCTGTGTTCTTTGCATTCTCTTATCGTCAAAAATAATAATTTGCGCGTATTATTTTACCATACATATTTGGCCGTACATAATATAATACATATATATAGGTTATTTTAATAATATCGAATTTATTATAAAACGTTAAAAATAATCAAGTTTCACAAAAACAAAATTAAATTTACAGTTGTATTTTTAACAGCTCTTTATTTCTTTATTTTTTTCTACTCTATAAAAAAGTAATCATTTCTATATAAAAATAAAATAATCAAATCAAATTTCTACAGTATAAACAGATTAAAAATATAAAATTAAAATAACAAATTGTTTTTTTTTTTTTTTTTTTTTTAATTTTACTATGTATTTACCGTTTCTAATGGTATTATATTTCTTTTCAAAACGATTATAGAACAGTCTCGTGTTCATACTATTCCAAATAATATCCAGGGGACGTCTCAGAGGGTTAGTATTACCCTCGGGGTCCATTAAAGGGAGTGCAGAAATCGTTAAGTCTTTAAACTTCGATAATCTAATATGCGTGCGCAGTCCTCCTTTCAAATAAGCTGTGGGAATTTATTTTTATTTTTGTATATTTTACAAATAATTATAATTTTATGATTTATATTCGAGATTTTTTATTTTTTTTTTTTGGTCGATAAACCATTGAATAATATCGTCATTATTTTGAGATGAACATAAGAACCGAAACATAGATCACAAAGATTAGATCTGATAAAAGTAAAACTGTCAACAATTTATTGGAAAAAATGGATTGCAAAAAGTGTACTACAGCCGTGGTCTAAGTCTGGGAAAAGTCTGAGATCCTTTGTCACTGAATTCGATTGTTTTAAACTCGCCAAAACGCCAACCGTCAAAGTGTAAAAATATATACGAATGAACGCTGTTGCTATAATGTGATCCGTGTGATGTTTCTCCGCGAATTTTACTATACTGTTTCTCCCGCACGTCGGTTCGGTTTTCGACGGCTCAGAGTCAAGAACGATAAACTCCGGTGGTAATGCTAATTTACCGGGTAAAAATTTAAATTTGACGAAAGTCGCGTAAATTGCGCAGGTATATTGTTGCGCGTTCCAAGTAAGCTCCTGGGGCGATTGAAGGGAAATATAACTACATAGACTATACGGAACTCGCCCAGACTACTCGCGTTCTATACGCAAAAGTAGTTCTTTCCGCCTCCGCCGCCGACGAAATGTCAACCGTTTTTCCGCAATGAATTATGGCACGTCTTATTCGGCCACGCGGAAAAGCGTATAAATTTGAATAAAACACAACCCCGTCAGGAGACCCACTTTTTTGTTTTTCATTTCGTTTTGTTTTTTTTTTTTTGTTTTCCGCTTTCCTGTGTGTGCGTATTACAATATGACGCCCTGAACTAGGTTCACCTCTTTAACAATAGGTACGTACTCGTTATATGTATGTATATAACTATATATGTAATAAATTATACTAAAAAATAAACGTAAAAACGCGTTTAAAAGCAACTGGGTATATTTATTACGTGTGCTTACAAGCGGTTATAATATTTTAATATTCAAATATAATATTATACTTTATTTCGTCTTGATTTTTGCCTCTTGACGTCACGAAAAAATAATAACCCCGATATTTTTGATTATTTCACTTCCGAGACGAAAACCGCATGATGGTTTTTAAACTTTATTTTCATTGTAAAAACTATTGTTTAATTTTAATTTTTTTTTTTTTTTTTAAATACTTTGCAACAAAATTCTCATCTCACTTGTTTAACAATTTACAGTATATCTGAGTTGTAGAATACTACAACTGCATACTATATTTATACTATTTCGACGATATTTTTCACCGAACCTACCCCTGCAATCTCCATGTGATTTCTTTTATATTGTGAACGCAGAGGTCATCTTTATTCTAATACTTCTGTAGTCTTAACATGTTTTAGTGTTAATTTATTTTATCTGAGATTTTTTTTTTTATATTTGTACATCAATACTTAGTTATTGCCATGTTAAACATTGCGTAGATACCTATATAAATAAATCTATACTAGTATATTAATATCAACTATACACAGAGTTCGTCTTTTTATTATTATTATTATTTTTTTTTTCATTATACTTCAATGCCACTTATATATAAGAATAATTTGAAAGAGATATTTGAACGAACTGTTTTTTTTTTTATCATTGTTATTATTGAAATATTGTTCTATGGTTTTTTCTCGATGGTAAAAATATTAAAAATGATATAAATAAAAACGATGATCGTAATGTCGTTGTAAAATTATTGTTATTACAGATTTATTCAATTATTCAGCAGCAATTGTTATTATATAAACAATTTAACTTTAAATAATTTCATACTGAGTATTTTAGTCAGAAAATTGTTATATTTATATACTCTCTGAACACAGACAAATTCCGTTAAACTTAACGTTTAATATAGAGTTTTTGTGATATCAAAAGTATGGTTTTTACTTGCAAACTAAATTTTTAAATTAGCAAAGTACCTTACATAAAAGGCTACATGATGATGTACAAAATTAAGTGATCGGGAATAATGTTAAGTTTTATGTTTACGTATTTTAATATGTTTCAAACACGCGATTTTTATTTATTATTTTTATTAGATGTTCTTTTGATCTTTGGATTTTATTTTTTAGGCCAGGGGAGGGAAATATAATGTAAAAATCTGATTGTGGTAAGACGAACGTTGTAAAAGTTTCTGCTAACGACGACGACAACGACGAAATATCAAGCGTTTCCACGATGAATAATGACACGTTTTGTTTGGTCACGTGGAAAATATTACGTATACGTACCTATATTTGAATAAAAAAGGAAACAGTATTGTGGAAAACCTATATTTTATAATATTTTCTCTACCACCTCCGGTTTGTGGAAATAAATGTCACGACGATACACTACGTGTACACATATATGGTTACTTGTATACATATAACTTTGCGCAACTCAAACTAAATAATAATTTTACCACACTGTCAGTCGAGTTTTGGATTGTGTGTGTGTAGGTGTCGTTAGTTGTTATTAGTTGTTGTGTAATGTTAGTGTTATATGTACTATTATTTCTAGAAAAATATTATCTAATTGAATCTGCGATTGAAAGGGGGATTGCTATTTAAAAATCCAAAGTAAATATTCATTTAAGGTGTAAGGATTAGAGAAAAGAAATTGAAAATGATATTGAAAAGAATTTTAAACGATTCCATAATGATTGAAAAAAAAAACAAACATGAAGTTCATTTTAAACCTTCCTAGATAATTGGTGGTTCGTGATAAATAAATAGTAATAAGTCGCTAACATTATATACGCTGCCTGCATGTAATATTGATACAACAATTTTCCATTATCTTTTTAGTAATAAGGATCTAATTATGTATTTATAATTATTATATTATTTTTATAAAAAGGATAGTATAATGGTAAAAAAAAAAATGAGAAAAGTCTTAACACCGTTATCGCCATAATTCCTCTTACGACAAACCAAGACCTCTTAAATTCATCACATAGTTATCGATCAAGTATATTTTGTTATATTGTATCTGTGAATTTGACGTTATTTCAATGCACGAATAATAATGTTTTTGAATACTCCTCACCAATGAAAACTTGCACTTACGTCACTCGCTAGGTACATAGATATGGTATTTTAATGTTATTATAAAAAGCAAAAATAAACTTGAAATACACTTTTTGAAACAACATTTTTCACTCAACCTAATGCGAGTGTCTATACATACGATTCGTGTATGTGCGTCCTATTAAAAGTCACACTAAGTAACTTCTACTAAATTAAACACAATCTAGTGATGCAGGATAACAAAATTTAATTCCATAGATATATATTATGTTTTCTTGTATACGTATACGGACGAACCACTCGATGTATTTTTTTGTAATTAAACAACTTTTAATTTAATAATACGTGTGAAAATAAATCTATACTTCTACAGGACGAAGATGAAAATAGTATTCTCTTTAATAATATTTGTGTAACTTACTGATTTTCCCGTTTCCCTTACATTTTCCTCAGTTTTTTTTTCGGTTTTTCACGTTTGTTGAGAAAACTCCTAAAAAAATCAAGAAATAACCACTCTAAAGTAACTTTCCAGTCAAATATCCTTTCAGTAAAATTGCTATCATTATAAATTGGAGTGAAATTTCCAGTAGAAAAGTTGTCCACAGGAAAATAGAAATCCGTAATATTTTTAACCAATACCTATATTTCTTCCATTTTTCCTCCGTTTTTTTTTTCGGGTTTTTAGAATTGTATGTGTAAACTTCTTTGGAACTCAAAAAATTATCTGGCTAAGGTACCTCTTTACTTCGATTTTCTTTTAGAAAAGGTGCTACACTTAAAAATCGCAGCAAGATTTCTGGTCAAAAAGTTGTCCACAGAAAAAAAATAAACATCTTTGTAAAACCGTAAGCTTCGTCTCTCCACTCAGAATTTAAAATAATATATAAATACATAGTTCAAATAATATCAAATAAATTATGTTAATCCAAGTTTACCCTGAAGATGTAAGTCCAGGTCTTCACAGGAACTGCGACATTCAAAGGAATCGCCATGTCATAACGAACAATATTCGTCGCGTATAATTTTTCTATTATCGAAGTTCGTTAACATTTGATGACAAAGGTGGGAAGGAGTCTTTAGTCTTTCACGTTTGATTTTTGACGTAAATTTATAAAACGAAAAAAATTTAGAAACACACAACATATACATTCTGTATGCAAATAAATACGAACCCCGTATGTATAAAAATATATATTTCTTGTGGTTTTGCCGTTAAAGAGTGCAAATTATCGTCGGCAGCGACCTCGTGGTATTATCGTATCAAAAATCACCGATGTGATAGCAACGGCGGCGACAGCGGAGGTTGTATATAACGGTCTGCTAATAGCATATTACCCCGGCAAATGGATTATACTCCGGGAACTTCCCCTCCCGGTCGTTTATAAAGATACCAGTCGAAAACAAATGGCCACGATTTACCCTTGTAGGTGTATATATGTACATAGACACGTTGTTCAAGGCACTTTAAGCTCCCAAAATTTATCGATGTAATAACACGCCACGCCGCCGGAGGAGTAGGAGGAATCGAACACAAAAATATTATTATTATTATTATACATGGCGATACATAAACTTTTGTCGCAGTCTAAAATTGATATTAATAATAATATAATAGTATCACATGGTTACCACTACTGTAAGCTATAATAATAAAACTGCGCCGAATCTTCATCCGGTTTCATCCAGTCGTCGTCGTTTCTTTTGGCGATATTAATTATCACACCATCGAAAAATTGTAAATATTTGTAAAGATAATATTTGTGATATTTAACTTTTAACTGTATGTTTTTTTTTTTTTTTGCTTTTTGTAAAATGGTTATAATTCATAAGAAAAATAATCTGTGATTTTTTAAAAATAAATAAATGTTTAATATTTAACACATCCGTGAGTTTTTCAAGGAAATATCAAATACTCGTTTCATATTTTACACTAAAGACTATCACACACACTATTTTTACAGCAACAGAAAAGATGATTCATACAGTGACACTAATGTTCAAAACAATTGAAAAACACAATATGAATTGACATTTTAAAAGAAATTGTAATAAGTCAACGTGATGCAATTCAAAATTATCTCACTATAAAAAAATGAGTTGTTAGTTTTCGTTAAAAGTATTAATTAACATTACTTTTAACTTGTTACTCATAATCTCAATAGTTAAAACCCTAAAAAAAAAGAAAAATAATAATTAAATTTAGGTATTGATTCAACTGCAATTGATTCGAGCAATAAATAGCGTTTATTTTTTTTCTTTTGTCTTAAACATTTTTCTGATAAAACGTATCGTCGAACATGTTGAGGCTCTCCCTTTCACGTAAACGGCAAATGTTAAAACCCTTAGCATTAAAACTTATTAACGTAGTTAAACTGTCTATACACAGTTAAAATATCTTCAAAAGTGGCCAGTGCCTTTAAATTTAATTCAAATGTCTTTTTGCTTTTTAAAACAAGTCTATTTTTATTATACTCGTACTTTTATACAAATTATTTCCATAAATAAATAAAAATCAAAAACCAATAACAAAAATCGTATGACATACGGGCGTTTTTGATAAAAAAAAAAGAACCACTGGTAAATAATGTTTGTAAAGTTCTCTACACGGTCACTTACCCGCTAACGATTTATCCCAATACAGTCAAAAGTGCATTTGAGTAAAAAGAGCGCATGAGTTTATAGTATAGAGGATTTATTTTTTTCAATATTTAAGTTCATAAGTAAAATTTTGTTCATCAATTTTAAAAATTAATACTTTTACAAGAGTTTGGATTTTTTACATTTTTTTTTTCTCAGCTATTCAAAGAAATTTTTGACATTTTATATAAACCATTTATGGTATAGAGCAAAACTTCTATGATAATAAAGTTATCAAATCGAATATTATACAAGAAACGATTGTGATAACAATATAGACCACAAGGTTCATACGTTTCTTGATGAGAGTGAAGGAAATTCGATCATCTTTTAATGAAAAACCTAAATAATATAATTAATGTATACCTACCTACCTACCGTAGTATATAAAAAAAAAAAAAAAAACAAATGATGGTAAATTATTGCGATAAGACGTCGCATGATTAATTTTTTTCACTTTCTGGTTTAGACACCGCTAAAATTTGATATTAATCCTTAACGAATGTTAACATAGTATAAGGCATATACACAGCTTGCTTCCTACAGATTAAGTAAATCGACACAAGTAAACGTTAAATACTGTCAAATGATATTTTGTTGAAAACAGTTTTTGTAAAAGTAATTTTTTTTTTCTTACATGTCAGGTATCTAAAAATTGAATTTCAAATTGTTTTAATATGATATATATTTGTAGTAAGATGATCGTAATGACGATAGAATATAATATAAGGAATAAGTACATAAGATGTTGCGTGGGTGTAGATTCGATAGTAGACATAATGAGAGTAAAATAACTGAGGGGGTTTTGGCATGTCACGCAGAGAAAGGAATCAGAATCGTTAAGGATTTGAATAAAAATAAACATAATTACAAGATCGAAAAGAAGGGGGAAGACCAAAAAATAGGTTGTTGGATATGATTGAGAATGATATGAGGACAACTGGTGTATGTTAAGTGGAAGTTCGGGTCAAGTGAATGTTTAAGATGAGGGTGTACGTCCCCGAATAATTAAGATTAAGGCGAAGGAGAAGAAGAATATATATTTGCAGTTGGAATATTTGCACAGATATTTGCCTAGACTTAAACATGCAGTATTAACCCGAAACATTATTTGCAAAAATGTATAGCATTAACGAAAACGTTGCAATATTCATTTGTATGCACACAATTGAAAATTCTTATTCTTTTTTTCTTCAAAAAAAAACAAACAACAAATTATTCGTGAGGTTTAGTAATTTGTCAGTCTAAAACGTAATGAGAAATTCGACGAATACGTAGTTTACGGTAGGTAACACAAATACGTGAATTAAATATCAAATTTCAAGAGCAAAACACTTTCACCATCACGAATGACTTTCAAAACAGCTTTAAAGGTGTTAAATAATCATCGCAAAGAATGTGCAGCGTTTATTTTCCTCCTTTCCGGTTCGAGTTGACAGTAGTGGTACGAATCTCTTTCTCTCACTGTAGTAAAATATGTCAAGTGAAGTGGTACAAAAGCGTTTGACTCCGGTAGAAGCTGGTCGAAAAAAGAAGTACATTGTCGTCTTTGGGGGTTAGTAAGTCTTTTGTAATTAAACCATTGGGCTACGCGTAGGTACTTTTGATAAAATAAAATAAATGCTTTTACATTTTAATATAGGCTTTGACAAATAACATGAAATAATCCGAGTTATAAAAGGCATATTATAATTTTATATACTCCCTACTTTAAGGTTTGATTCGAAAATAAAACAAAGGGAGAGAATAATAAACAAAAAATAATTTTGTTTCGAAATAGCGAGATTAAAAAAATATAATATAAATTACTATACAATAAGGATGTAAGAGTGGGAAGACGTTCGTTTGACTTTTTCTTCCCGTTTCACGCGAAAATTATTTAATTATAAAATCGATGATTACTATATACATATATATTTAAAATATAACTTTCAAAGTTTAAAGTTTAATAAGTATAAGCACTACCGAGACAAATTTAAGATAATTAAAACTTTTTAATGTTAAAAAAAAATTAGATCAAAAGTCCGAAATATTATAATGTTATACTTATAACAATATTGTGTTCGACATTTTATTCAAACGTCAGTACACAATTTGCGTAAAAACGAATATTATTAAAAAAATAAAAAATAGGTTCACGAAGGTCGCAGGCGTTTATTATAATTATAATATGTATATATATATTAAAAAATCTGCTTCGCGTACGTATTGTAACGTTTAATAAGTCTCGCCGACACGCAGAAAAATATGTTGTGGGTATCATGCTCTGGGCATTTAAGATTATTATTATTATTTTTTTTTTTGTTGCGAACCAATATAATATCTAGTCGCTTGTAGTTTTATATGAGAAAAAAAAAATAAATCAAAAATACTGATATACATAAGTATTATAATACAAACCCCGCGGAATCATTTGAATCGTATCGAAAAGCTTTCCAGACGGTCTAAAAAGCGTCACGGGTATATAATGTATGCTACGGTATATACTTATATATTGTATTATAGTAGTCAAGGGGCTCAAAACGATGAGGGACATGTATTATAATAATGTGAGTATATATGTATAATATGTGGAAAACGTCTTAAAATATTCCATCCGCGGATGCCGAACCCTCCGCGAGTGAAACATAAAGCCGATCTCAAATATAATATAATATAAACGCGCGAATCATGTTGCGTTACGAAATATTCTTTGTAATTTCACACCGTGCCGACGGCGAGAGTCACGCATTATAATTTAATATTAATGTACCGATAAGTAGTGTTTAATGTGTATACGATGAGAGCCGAGGATCGCGATTACAACGTTCAGTTACGACGTTTTATATTATACCGTTCGACTGAAGTCTAAAATGGTCTATAACATAAGTATTATAACATTGTGTACATAACCCGCGTACTTATAATATTATGTTATAATGTGTTCCACCCGACTGTATTAGACCGTAGTTGAAGATGGTACTGTTGCACTGGTTGGCGAACAAACGGCGAAAAAACCGACGAGATCGTCAAATGTTCTTATCGAAAAGTATTCTGATCTCTGGTTACGTCAAGTATATGTACATAGTCAATTTATTATTGGACACGATTAACGATCAAGACCAAGATGATAATTAACGATTTGTATGGTCACTATAGACCCACCAATGTTCTACAGTTTCCCGTTCGGGGTAGTTTGATTACTATTGAACACGTTGATAGTGAATAGTTTTTGAAACGATGTGAAGACAGTGCATAAAACGCCGCATTAGCATTTTATTTAAACAGAGATACGATAAAAGCGTTAATAAATCGTAATTTTGATTATTTGATATTGGTCTGTTTTGTATTTAATCATGCATTTGTAGGTACGGATTTTGAATTGAGCCACTGAATGCATTAATCGTCAAAAAAAATTGAATAGGAACATTTTACTCCAACTAAACGTAATACGTCGATATAGCTCGTTCGGCGGTGTACGTTTAATTATTATGATATACACCGATGTACAGACCAAAATCACTTCTCTCCGAAGGATAAGAAACATAATCCGAAAAAAAGTTTATACCTATTATTCGACTAGTAAATATAATATATACTTTATGGATACAGCGCACGATATTATTTAAAACTACTATATGTTTGGTCTCATGTGTGAAATGGGGTTAAGTTAAATTTTGCGAAAACAGACAAAAGTATGTTGAAACTTACCGCTGCGAATACATCTATATAGCAAACTTTCACCGTCGTTGTACAAACATCAACAGATACTGCACTTCCGAGTTTATTTCTATGTTTATAATATGTATACATATACATATATGTGCACTCGGTATAAAGAACTTACACCACCGAC